GGTGCCCGCGCGAGGCCTGCGTGGAGGGCACCCCGGGGTGGCGGCGGGAGGGTGACGCCCGCCGGCTGTGTGTTGCAGTATGAGATGTACACCATCGAGCGGAACGCCGAGCGCACGGCCACCGCCGGGAGGCTGCTCTACGACATGTGAGTGGTGTCTGCCCCTGAACTTGGACGTGGGGCCGCTAACCCCAAGGTGGGCGGTTCAAGCCCGCCAGCCGCTGGACGGGAGACGGATGAGGCTGTCTGTCCCCGTACACATTTCCAGCCTTGAAAACCCTTAGATAGTTAGGGGGTCGCTGTGAACCCACCAGACGGCAGTAGGTTTGCCTTTGGGGGTTGGTGGCACTGAGCGTTAGGAAAGAGGTCTGGGGGAGTTCATCTGCACCCCTGATTCCTAAAGCTGACCTGAAAAGGCAGTGGGTTTGGTTTGGGGGTTTATACCCACTGTGTACTATTAGCGACGCTGTAGGACAGAGTACAACTGCCCCCCATAGGTTTCCGGAGATGTAAATCTTAGGGAGCAGGCAACCTCATCTTTTTCTCAGAGAGTGGTCAACATTCTGGTTAGCGGCTAAGTGTTTAACCACTGTCACCACCGTGTCAACGGGGCTCCCCTTTAATTTGAGTTCGCCTCCATGTTAGTGTGTAGACCAACACTAACATGTTAGAGTGTAGACTTCATTCTTTTTCAAGCATGTATAGCATTCCCTTAACTACTCTCTAACTGATGGACATTGAAGTCGTTTGCAATTACTTGAAATTATGTTCAGAATATAGTAAGCAACTTCGTGCCGATGTAAATGTTTTGGTTGACTAGATGCACAGACAATCGGTTTTCATAGGGAAAAGTTGTATACATTTAAAATTTTGATGCTGTCAAACTGCTTTTCAGAAAATAATATTCCTGGGTTTACATTTCTACTGGCAGTGTATAGATAGATGTGACCATTTTCCCACCTCCTTGGGTATAACCAGTCTTTTAAAATTATTATCGGTGTAATAGGAGAAAGTAGTATGTGTGTGGTACTTTTTATAAATTTGTGTTAATTGTATTACTAGTAATGTTGAGCATCTTTTCAAATGTTACCATTGACTATTTGTGGGGTTGTTTTTGGGTTTTTTTTAATCCTTTGCCTTTGCTTATTTTTTCCCCATTGGGGCAGTTTTATTTGTCTTGTTGAGTCTTAGAAACTCTTTATATATTATAGTTATTTAATTTTCACATATAAAAACGTTAGTGGGTTTTCTTAACTACTTGTTTTTTATTTTTGTATCTTTATTTTGGTTTGGTTTGTCACATTTAAGTATTCATTGGGGGAAAAAGTTATTTCTTTTTATGATACTATATTAAATTCTAACATTTTAATTTGATGCATTCATTTTAAAAATAGGTTTGTGAATTTCCCAGACCAGCCGGTGGTGTGGAGAGAAATCAGCATTATTACATCAGCTTTAAGGAATGATTCACAAGATAAACAAACTCAATTTTTAAGAAGTAAGAATAGAGTGACAACTTACTTAATGGCTTATAAATGACCATTCCTGGAAAACCAAATTACACAGACTAATGTCACCGAAAAGTGCCAACTGTGCTCTCAGCACCCATATAAAAGTTCTCTTCTTGCAACAAATCTTCACAAATGATGTCAAGTGTCCCCTGAGCATTTTGTAGAACCTTTAAGCTTCCTTAAAGGGTGTGGGTTGTTCAGTGAGCCTAGGTACCTGAATATGCTTTTAATAGGTTTACAGTAATCAGGAAGCATTTATAGACTGGGCATATCTCCACAAAACAGGAAGTAAACTTGTATCACCCACCCCCACTTGTTACCTTTTGACATTCCTCTTTAATTGTGAACTTGGTGTTAATGTATGACCTTCTCATTCTGCTCCTTGCTATAGCTGCTCAGTTTTCAAATTCTGGATTAAGCAAAAGAAAGCGGATGGTTTTTATCACTTCCACTTAAACAAGCGTCTGCTCTTGATCTTAACTTGCACTGTGACCCATCAAATGCATCACTCTGATCTTCTGTATCTAATAAGGTCTCCACATGTTTTATGGTCATTCAGCAAACATCTTATGTCAAGTACTGTCTGACCCCAAAGCCTGCCCGGTTATGAGTGAAACCCAACAACGGTAATTCTTCAGTAGTATTGACAGCCCTCCCTGCGATAATCCCACACTTAGACACTTTCGCTTCCGTACTTCTTTCATTTTCATCTCCCCAAAACTTTTCTAAGTGAACTGTGTCACATGCAGGTTTATTTGAAACCCTTCCTGGCCGTGTCCAGTGCGAGATGCTACTGAAGGTCACGGAGCAATGCTTCAACACGTTGGAGCGATCGGAAATGCTGCTGCTGCTGTTGAGGCGCTTCCCTGAAACCGTGGTGCAGCATGGGGTGAGCTTCGCGCCTTTCCTGTCCTTTAGGGGAGACCGTAATGGATCGTGACCAGAGTTATCGCCTGGGTCATCTCATCATAGCATCTCTGAAGCAGAGAGGGTGAGACGGACTGGATGAGGCTGAGCTGAAGTCGAGGAGCCTTTGTCAGTAAAGCGAAAGGATATCACTGTTATCAAACTCCACATTCCATTGCCTGGTTAGTGGGTATATGGTGTCACTAGAAAGTATGCAAGAAAAGGATGTGTTTGGTAAATGGTGTAGCATATATAACTGTGCACAAACAACTAAACTTAGGAGTGTAGGTACATTAGTATCAGTTTTATATATATGTGTGTGTGTGGACATCTATAGATATATTATATATAAGGTTCTGTAGACTAGGCTTAGGCTGCTAACCACAAGATCAGTGGTTCAAAATCAGCAGCCACTCCAAGGGAGAAAGAATAGGCTGTCTGTTCCCATAAAGATTTACAGCCTGGCAGGGAGGAGACAAGCCAGTCAGGGTGCGGTGTAGCAACGATGAAACTTACAACTTTCTTCTAGTTCTTAAATGCTTCCTCCCCCCCACTATCATGATCCCAATTCTACCTTACAAATCTGACTGGACCAGAGGATGTACACTGGTACAAAAGGAACTGGAAACACAAGGAATCCAGGACAGATGAACCCTTCAGGACCAGTGGTGAGAGTGGTGATACTGGGAGGGTAGAGGGAAGGTGAGGGAGAAAGGGGGAACAGATTACGATGATCTACATATAACCTCTTCCCTGGGGGACGGACAGCAGAGAAGTGGGTGAAGGGAGATGTCAGATGGTGTAAGATATGACAAAATAATAATAATTTAGAAATTATCATGGGGGAGGGGGGAGCAGGGAGGGAGGGGAAAAAGTGATGAGCTGATACCAAGGGCTCAAGCAGAAAGCAAATGTTTTGAGAATGATGATGGCAACATATGTACAAATGTACTTGACACAACGGATGTATGTATGGATTGTGATAAGGATTGTACCAGCCCCCAATAAAATGATTTAAATAAAAAAGAAAGAAAAGAAATGTCCTTAAATAAAATTTAATATTTTCTCTATTATAATGCCACTCATACTTTGTTCATTTTCCCCCCAAGTATCATGAAATTTGTCATTGTCAATGGTGTTAAAAGATCCATGTTTTCTAAATGATTACTATTTGTATATTGAATTTTGTATGGTTGATTTTTGAACTCTGTTTTTGCCTCTTGAACACTCTTACTGCTCTCCAACTACTCTTCTCCTCAACTTACTCTCAGAGTTAGGTTCCAAAGACCAGCTTTGCTGTGTGAACATTATTAACACAGCATCCTTACCTACCATCTAATGCAGCCCCTCTGAAGACACACCTTCGATGATGCCTGGGTGCACGTGGCAGAAGATCCTTCTGCCTGGTAGTTGCTTCCAACTTTTTCTGGCTCACAGCACTCTTTATGATGCTCACCCCTGTATCTGGTGTTTTCTTCTACCATGGAATTCCTACCTTCTCTGCTTGTGCTTTTCTGATCCTTGTGGGCCAGGGGGCTTTCCTTCCTAGGATGCAGGAAGCAAATTTGTTTCCTGTTCCTCTAGGTCAGTGGTTCTCAACCTGTGGGTTGTGACCCCTTGGGAATCGAGCGACTCTTTCACAGGGGTCACCTAAGACCATCGGAAAACACAACGTTTCATTTATTTGTCATTGGAAATAAATATTTCACAATATATAATTACATATTGTTTTGTGATTAATTATTATGCTTTAATTATGTTCAATTTGTAACAATGAAAATACATCCTGCATATCAGATATTTACATGCTGATTCATAACAGTAGCAAAATGACAGTGATGAAGTAGCAATGAAAATAATTTTATGGTTGGGGATCACCATACATGAGGAACTGTATTGAAGGGTCGTGGCATTAGGAAGGTTGAGAACCATGGCTTTAGGTACACTTAAGGTCCCTGGGGTTGAAGGATTTGGCTGACCTTCCAGGTTTAGTTGCTTCCATTGCCCAAGGGCCCTACTTCCAGGGCCACCGCTTTGGTGCCTGCCACCCTGCAGGTCTACTTTCCCCCCTTTGGGACTGCTTGCCACTCCTTCCACTTAGACACTCTCCTACACTCTCTTTCACGGTGGTGAGTGCCTCTGTAACCCACTCAGTCTTGGGGTATCCACATCATTCCCAGCCTACTTTCATGGCTGCAGCTCCTGCATTCCCACACAGGACACCCACGCCCTGCTCCACACTGAGCTATAGTCCCTGGAGCTACTGAGAACCCCAAACCGCTGTGGACACTTTCAGCAGCACCAGGTTCAGCCTGCTATGCTCCTCCTTTGCAACCCACAGAGGGCCTTTTAGCATGCTCATCCCAGCACACGGGCTGTCCAGAGGCCTGTCCCCCGATGCCAATTGGATCTGTCGCTCCAGATTGTTTTTCAAAAATATAATGGTGACTCTACCCATGGACTTCACCAGGTGAAATACACAAGGATAAAATTGACTACATCTGTGGGAAGAAACGATGGAGAAGTTCAATATCAGCATCCAAAACCAGGCCAGCGGCTGACTGTAGAACAGACCATCAATTACTCATATGTAAGTTCAGATTGAGACTGAAGGAAATTAAAACAAGTCCACCAGAGCTAATACATCATTCCGAGTCTATCCTACCTGAATTTTGAGAACATCGCAATAACAGATTTGACTCATTGAACACTAACGACAGAAGACCTGTTCAGTGTGGGATGACATCAAGATTATCCTACTTGAAGAAAGCCAAAGGTCGTTAAAAAATAGGAAAGAAAGTAAAGATCAGAGTGGATGCCAAAACGGACTCTGAGACTTGCTTTTGAATGTAGACTAGCTAAAATAAATGGAAGAAATGGCGAAGCAAAAGAACTGAGCACACAATGTCCAAGGGAAATTCAAGCAGATTCAGTATCATAAGGAAATGTGCGAAGCTCAGGAATTAAAACACTAAGCACAGTCGACATCCAGTGAAGGAACTGAAGGAAAACAAATTCAAGTCTCGAGTTAGGATTGTGAACGATTTTTGGCAAAATATTAAATGATGCTCGAAACCTCAAAAGAAGATGTACCCAGGAGACTTGAGTAACATTTCCTAATTTCAAGAGGTAGCATATGATCAAGAACCAAGAGTACTGAAGGAAGACATCCACGCTGAACTGAAGGCATTACCCCAAGACAAGGCTCCAATTGAAATGGTTCAACAAGCTGATCAACTACTAGAAGCACTCACTCATCTATGCCAAGAAATTTGGAAGACAGCCATCTGGCCAACTGACTGGAAGGGATCCACATGTGTACCCATTCCAAAGAAAGGGGACCCAACAGAAAGCAGAAATTATCGAACAATATCGTTAATATCACATGCAAGTAAATTATTGCTGATGATCATCCAACAACAGTTGGAGCAGTACACTGACAGGGAGCTGCCAGAAAATCAGGCTGGATTCAGAAGAGGATGTGGAACAAGGGATATCATTGCTGATAATTTTCTTTCTTTTTCTAAAAATAGTTTTATTGATATAAAATTCTCATACTATACACTTCCATAGTGAAGTCACTTTTACAAAGAGTTGCATATACATCATTACAATCAGTTCTAGTGCTCCCTCACCACGCTCGCATTGTTTGCTCCCCAATTCCCTTCACCCTTTTCATCCCTCAGCCCATTCCCGATAAATGATTGCATCTGACATAGTCTCTATGCATCCACTCCTTCTGCACTTCATAAATTGGGCAACCTAACTGAAATGATTAAAAGCAAAATGAAAGAGAAATATGGATACATCTAAGAGTTTAACTAAAAAAATTTTCCTGGATCATTTTATGTGAAGTCTGAGTTGTACATTTTTGAAAATTTGGTTTAATTTCTAAATCTCTAAAAGCCTTTGCCAGGTAAGTAACCTATTTACAATTATTGTGATTATGAATACATTTGGACTTTTATTTTTGTTTCTTACTTGCTTGCTGTATGCTATCCTGTCTTCATTACATCATCTTACTGAATTGATTGCTTGAATCTGTTTATATCATGAGAATTTTTTTCCTTTTTACACTACCATGTTTGAAAGTCATGCATTTTATTTTTGCTGTGCCTTTAGTTTTTAAAAATTTGCATTTAAATATAATCTTTTCAAATTTTATAGCTGTCACCTAACAAAGTATAATGTTACTCGTTTTATTTCTTTTCCACAACAACGATAGGACAATATAACACAGATACTCATCACCACTCTTTCTTTCATATCATTGTTTAATATGTTAACTTTATTATTGACTGTTCCCAACTATTATTATTATTTTATACTTCATGCTTCTTAAAATTGCTAACATGGTTCTTCAGTTTATGTCTTCATAATTTTTGTGATCTACTCTTTCTTTCTGAAATTTCTTTTTTTCTTACTGAAGTATATATTTTTGTTCTATTTCAATGAGGGGTTGTGAATGAAAATCTCTTAGTCTTATTAATAAGCCCCCGGTGATCTCCCTCTACCCATGATTGAGGGCTGGGAGGTAAGTGGTTACTAAACAGTAACCACAGTACGTTGGAGAGAGGAGTATAGAAGATCAAAGGATAAACCTGACTGCAACAGTGACAACTGTGTCCGTTGATCCTTCCCTGATACATGCTAGACCTGATCTGGTTTTCTGCATTTTCGTTTTGTTCCTTTTTTTGTTTGTTCATATGAGGGTTTATCTCAGCGGTGTTGTGCCATTGGGGGCTCACCTTCCTGAAGGTGTGTTATATGCTTTTCTGTTTTTCCGTATATGAAACCCAGGATTGATGAACCTAGAGGGACAGCATTTTTCATCTCCTTTTATTCTCTCTGTTGGTGATTTTCTTGGCTACATTTTCTTATTTACCGAGTCTCTCTTAAGCTATATCAGTGTGTAGTTTTTCTTCCCTATTCAGTTTTAGTTTCAATATTACATTTTTCATTTCTAAAAGTTACTTATTTTTAAAAAGATTTATTGGCACTTCATCCACACAACATTTCAATACGTTCAATACT